CCATGTGATGCTGAGTCAGATGCTCATTTGTGATCCGGGTCGGGTGCCAGCCCTATTATCCTGTCACCAGTCCCCCCTACTCCTGAGTCAACGGATGTGTTTGAGTTGACTTGGGAGTAAGGCTGAATCTATCTTGATCCTGTGTGTAGAATCCTGCTTGATTTAGGATATGTGATTTTATTTGATCCTGTGTATGTGATTTTATATATATATATATATATATTTTTTAAATCACATATGATTTTATTTTATTTCTTATGCTAGCCGAGATAGGCTTTGGCCTAGGTTGGCAGAGATGTGTGCCTCCGGCCGAGGCGTCGCCTCGACTGATCGTGGCCGAGGCGTCGCCTCGACTGATCGTGGCCGAGGCGTGCGCCTCGGTTGACCGTGGCCGAGGCGTCGCCTCGACCGATCGCGGCCGAGGTGTCGCCTCGACTGACTGTGGCCGAGGCGTCGTCTCGACCGACTGTGGCCGAGGCGTCGCCTCGACCGACCGTGGCCTAGGCGTGCGCCTCGACCGACCGTGGCCGAGGCCGGCGCCTTGGCCAACCGTGGCCGAGGCCGGCGCCTCGACTGAACGTGGCCGAGGCGGCGCCTCGACCGATCGTGGCCGAGGCGTCGCCTCGACTGATCGTGGCCGAGGCGTCGCCTCGACCGATCGTGGCCGAGGCGTCGCCTCGACCAATCGTGGCCGAGGCGTGCGCTTCGGCTGATCGCGGTCGAGGCGTAGCCTCGACCGATCGTGGCTGGGGCAGGCTCCGGTCTATTATATTTTTTATTTTTTATTTTTATTTATTTATTTATTTATTTATTTTGCCGAGACGGACTTCGGCGTTGGCCGAGGCGGGCGCCTCGGCCAACCCTTGGCCGAGGCGTGTGCCTCGGCCATCCGAGTCGAGTCACGTCTCGGCCAACCTGTGGCCTGGGCGTGCGACTCGTTCCTTTTTTTTTTTTTTTTTTTTGAAACAACATGGGCAGACCACAAGTACGAGATATTATTCCAAAAGATTTCAGAATGCAAAGCGGGCGGACCGCGATTACCAAACACTAGTCCCAAACGACTACTAGAATATTAAGGAAAATATATATATATTTTTTTTGAAACAACATGGGCGGACCACAAGTACGAGATATTATTCCAAAAGATTTCAGAATGCAAAGCGGGCGGACCGCGATTACCAAACACTAGTCCCAAACGACTACTAGAATATTAAGGAAAATACTTAATCAAATGTTCCTAGCTCCATACCCGATCGATTATCCTTACAGATGGTGTGGACTTATAGATCATTTCTGCCAATCTTTTTGCATGCTTTAACGTAAAAACTGCGGGCCGCTCGCTGGTCTCCTCTGACGACCCCTATCCCACTCGGAGTGGGGAACTTCATACACAAGTGTTCCACCGACACTATGGCCTTGAGGTTCTCCAGTGCCGGTCTCCCTAATATGATGTTGTGCGCACAAGTGAGTCTTACCACGATGAATTCCAAGTCAAGTTTGCGAATGTTAGGGCTCGTGCCTATCTCCACTGGTAAGACCACTGACCCCTCCATCTCCACTGAATCACCCGTAAATCCAGAGAGTGGGGTACGTACTTCTTTGAGCTGGTTCCTAAGTATCCCTAACTTGGTGAAGGCATCGTAATACATCACATTGACTGAGCTTCCCGTGTCGACTAAGATGCGGCGGACAATGACATCGTTGACGTCCATCTCAATTACCAGGGCGTCACGATGGGGTAACGGGCCCTCTGGGAGGTCATCACCAGAGAAGGTGATGGCCTCCTGTCTCTGTTTCTTTTCTCTGGGAAGACTCGCCACTTCTCCCACGTATAGCCGCCGACTCCACTTCTTTCTTTCTGCGGGCGTGTCGCCCCCTGCAGGTCCACCATAGATAAAGTGTATGGTGTGCTTCTTTTGTTGTTTAGGCGCCACCTCAGTTTCTTTCTCGCTATCACTCTGCTCAGATATTTGGTCGTGTTCTCTTTTTTTCAAGGTGTTCGAGGTGGACGGCTCTGTGCCATCCTCATTCCTCCAAACATTTTTTGGTGGATTGTGTTGCGGCTGTTGCTGCTGCTTGGATCGCTTGACGAAATGTCGGAAGTAGCCCTGCTGGATGAGTTCTTCTATTTGTCTCTTCAAAACGTGACACTCACCCGTATCATGGCCGGTTTGCCTATGGAACCTGCAGTACTTTGTTTGGTCCGCCTTCGGGGAGACCTTCATGTACTCCTCGGGGAATTCTACCATTCTCATCTCCTCAGCTTGCTTTAGAATGACACTGACGGGATGGGTAAGAGGAGTTAGATTACGCAAGGGAACCAGGCGAGGTCGTTCGTGGTCTCGGCCTTTCCCTACGGTCAGGTGGTTCGAGAGTGGTGCCTGGCTAGGCCGACCCTCTTTCCCAGGCTTCCCACCTTTCCTTCCATCCTCTTCGTCCTTCTTCTTCCTATCGACGTCCTCTGCTTCGGCATAGCGGCTAGCCGTCCTTATCAGATCTTCGTAAGAGCGGGGGTGGTGGGCGTTCAACTGCTTGTGGAAATACCCTGATCTTAAGGCATGAATAAATATCGGGATCGCCGCCTTGGAGTCGAAGTCGTAGACATTATTGACTTCCTTTTTCCATTTTATCAGGAAGTCTTTGAGGCTCTCGCCTCTATCTTGCTTCACTACACAGAGGTGAGAGAAGGATTTCTTACGCTGTATGCTACCGGAGAAGTATGTCAGGAAGCGCTTGGACAACTCCCCAAAGTTTTGGATCGACCAATCAGGGATGGTGTTGAACCAGTCTTGGACCGCTCCATCCAGGGTGGACAAGAACGCTCAGCACATGATGGTGTCCCCTGCCCCGATCATTACCGTAGCAGCCTTGTACCTCGTCATGTGGACGCGTGGGTCAGTGACCCCCGTGTACTCCTTGATGGCGGGCAACCTAAAGTCCCTCGGCAAAGGTATGTCCATGATGCTTGGGGAGAATGGTGCTGCCATCCGTAACTCGGGTTCCGGCGACTGCTCCCGTGCCTCCATCCTTCTTGCTAACTCCTCGATTCTTCTCTGCAGCCTCTCGACCAGGGCTGACTCATCAGGGTGTCGGCGCGGGGCCGGCTGCCGCTCCTCCAAGTGTCGGTGTGGGACCCGCTCATCAACGCGTCGCTTCCCCGCCGAGTGCTGTCGCGGAGCCGGCTCTTCGACGTGTCGCTCCTCCAAGTGTCGACGTAAGGCCGACTCATCAACGTGTTGGCGTGGGGTCGGCTCCTGAGACTCGCCCACCTCCTCTGTGGGTGATCTCTCGGCTTCTCTGTTTTCATGTTGGCAAGGACCTCTGGTAGAGGATCCCTCGGCCCGTGATCCTAATCTTTGCCGCACGGGCTCCCTTTGTCCCAATCGTTCTGGTGCAGATTGGGAAGGGCCTGGTTGTCGTCTGGCCGGTCCACTTCTTTGGGTCTCCACCCTTATTTCCTGGGGCCGCGGCGGGGGCACTTGGCCTTGTAGTCCCACCGCCACTTGGTTTAGTGCTGCCGCCACCGCTTGCTGGATGGTCGCCTGGAGGTTCACGACTTGGTTCGCCCCTCCATTGTGGAGCTGGTCTCGGAGGTCCCCTCCATTGTTGAGTTGGTTTCGAAGGTTTCCTCCATTGTTGAGTTGGTCTCGAAGGTCCCCGGGCCTCCCGTTGTTGAGCAGTTCTTGGAGGTCCCCTCCGCGATTATTGGTGAGTTGGTCCCGGAGGTCACCTGAGGCATTGCCATTGTTCACGTTGCGGGAACCGTGGGAGCTGCGGGACACCATTCTTTCAAGCTTTCTTGTTGAAAGAGGAATGAGTTGTGTGTGTCGTAGCCTGCTTGAGTATTGGACTCAGGCTCTCAATGAAAGCACCAATGACGGTAATAATGTTACCGGAAATATAATATTAGAATGACGTTACGTGAAAGGGAGAGTAACAATAGTTGTATTGCCTTTGTCTCAGTATAGAAAGTACAGTGTCCCATGCTCAGCTGAGGGAAGTTCTATTTATGCTAGGTCCTAACGGTAACAACATGAAGAGACATCCTTGGGGAGCTGAGCTAACGGCAAGAATATCAAGAGTCATGAATGTGGCGTTGAAGCTTTAACTCTCTCTCATCAATGGTGGCTTCAATGACAATAAAGGTGACACCTGTTGGAATTCTAACCGTTGGAGTTCTGCACGTTGGGTTCCCATGTGATGCTGAGTCAGATGCTCATTTGTGATCCGGGTCGGGTGCCAGCCCTATTATCCTGTCAGCTCTGTTTGGTAATATTCTCAAAATAAGCTCCTAGCTTAAAATATGAGCTTATTTTGGAACGCTACTTTAGGTAGCGTTTCAAAATAAGCTCTTAACTTCCTAATTTTTTTTTTTCGTCTTTATCCTCATTATTTTAAAGAAATGACTTAATTTACCCTTCCCAATTAAAACCCTTTTCTCTTCTTCTTTATCCGCAACTTTTACCGCAAATATTATTATTATTATTATTATTATTATTATTAGATTTGCAACAATATTGCTACTTCATTATGACATGCTAGATCATGATTATGCTAATAGTTTTATTTCAAAATGTTGATTTTTTTTAAAGACAAAATGTTAAATTTTAATATGTAAACAAACTAATTTAAATTTTATGAAGATGTCATTTTTAGTATTTTTACATTTATCAGCTTATCAAAAAGCTAATTTTACCAAATACTTTCAATCATAACAGCTAGCTTAACAGCTCTTCAGTTTTCAGCTCCGAGCTTATAGCTTTTAAGCTTTCAGCTCCTAGGTTATAACTTTTCAACTAGGTTTGCCAAACAGAGCCAAAGTACCGTTCCAAAATAAGCTCTTAGAGCTTATAGCTTATTAATAGCTTAAAATAAGCTATAAGCTCTGCCAAACAGAGCCTATAACTTTTCAACTTTCAGTTCCTTTTCAACTTTCAGCTCCGAACTTATAGCTTTTCAGCTAGGTTTGCCAAACAAAGCCACAAAATCCGCTCTAGGTGTAACAAGTTAGGAACTTAGAACTGTATTGAGAAATGCATATTGGTTTTTAAAGAACGTAAAGAATCAATAATGCATAAAACCCTGTACACAGGTGTACTTCAAGCATCATCTATGTAATACTCATTTACACACAACATTATGCAAATCAATGGACAGCTACTATTCTCAAATATCAAATAAGTCTTATCTTCACCCAACCAATATTCCGAGAACTATAAATATAGTAGCCACTATGGCAAAACTAGAAAAGGGAAGTGTCACTGTTGTCTATAGTAGCCACTCTGGCTAGGCGGTGGGTATTGAGAAGGAATGGTGTATGGAGGTGGAGGCATAGACCCTGGCTGCTGCTGCTGCTGCTGCTGAGGGGCATTATAATATGGGCCCCGCCACCCGGGATAAGCAGGCTGACCATAATTGTGGCTAGGTTGAGGCTGCTGTTGGTGTTGTTGGGGAGGTGGGTACGGGGGACCAGAAGCTTGCAGATGATAAGGAGGTGGCTGTTGAGGAGCACCGTAAGGGGGAGGGTTTTGAACGTATCCGGGGACAGTTGGCTGCTGAGGAGGCTGGTAAGCAGGAGATTGGAGTCGAACAGCATTGGTGGCGTTTGCAGGGTCGGTTGGTTGAGAAGTTGATCTTGGAGTATTATGTTGCCCACCAGGAGGGTAATTATAGCTCCCTGAGTTTTTATTATCCTTAAAACTCAGGCCCGAAATTTGCCTTTGAACATCATCAACCATTTCCCGGCATTGAATATTTCTGGTCATCACAAAATCACTGCACTGCTGCTTTATATTCGTGATAGCATCCTGTTCAACAAAGCAGAATAAAAGAATATAGTATGTCCTTGCAAGAGGAAGACAAACCGTGAAATATAAATGTAGATTTTCCCCTTTTTCGGGTAATGAGTTGAGTGGCAGATAAACTCAAGCACACACAATTGGGAATATAAATAAATAATGAAACATGTTCGTCCAAGACAGTTGTGAGAGCATAACATGAATTAAATGAAACAGAGAAGTCCATGGAGTTTGTAATTGGAGAGTTTTTTTAAGATTGTCAGGAAAGAACCATGTAAAGTACTTCAAAATTTTCATTGAACTGCTGTTCCAATAGCACCAGCTCGGCAGACAGCTTAATAAAAGGGGAATAACTTCAAAGGTTAATAATAAATCCAAGAGAAAAAGGACAAACCAACTTTATCGTGTTGGTTTAAGACTTCAAGTTAACAATGCAATTTCAATTTCACATATCTACGGAAGACAGAACTGTAGTGACTGACTCGAAAATTTGCAACCAGATGGTTTGAATCCAGCTGGTGCCCAAGAACATTCTTGCCCCTATTATTTGTCTACATTCCAACCCCCTAAATTCCACTCTATTCTGAAGGTCATTTAGATCACACATATCTAAGAATATATCTGAATCTCAATATCCCAAATCTAATAGCTTGGCTTTGACGTATCTTTTAAACCCACTCGTGTACCATTTCACTGGGTATGAATACTGTCCATTTAGAGGCATAGTAGTATAGGACTTACAGGTGTTACAGGATGCAGATGACTTCTGAGCAAAAAAATAAAGATCCCCTAAACAACACTTGGCCAGACAAGTCTAAGTGAACAGTAAAAAAAGAAACTGATACCTGAAGAGTAATGTAGAACTTCAATCCTTCATTGATATTATCCTTGATTTCTCGATATTTAGCTATGGCAGCTTCAATCTGCTTGTACATTTTCTCCCGGGATGCTGTAGAATTTAGAGGAAAAGGGGCAATTTTCATGAATTATAGAGGTTGGAAACAACAGGTTTGCATTAGGAAAGGGAGAATAAAAAGAAAGGAATTGGCATATGATGATACAAAGATTAATTATAGCTAACAACAACGAAAGGAATTGGCATGTAAACGATAGATAGAAAAATAATGATGGATCTCAGCGCTGCATTATGCAGTAGGCTATCTGGTTGTCATATCTACTTAAAACCAATTGGTGATAAGTAGGTGGACTTTAACCATTTAACCACATCCCTCCATGGTAAGCCACAGCGCTACGTCTCGAATCGAGACGGGGCTGAACTCGGCCAACCCGGCCGACGCCCAGCAAATAAGTTCTATTATCAATCAGGTCACCTTTAACCAGGTTATGGAATATGGGCACAACCAAAATTATTAACAATGGGGTAAAAGGTATCTTCAATCATTACGAGTAACAGAAACTTAAAAACTGAAACAATGGATATGTTACAGAACTGCTTACTAGATTCATCATTAGAGTAGCAAGCACATTATGGCTCAAAGTACATTGCTACTAATAGAAAAAGCTCTCAGCAATGTGGACTCATCTGCCTAATTTTATTGATTAGGTTATCACTAAGTTCAAAATGTGGGCATAGATGAAATTATTAATGGGATATCAAACATCTCTAATCCGATGAGTAACAGAATCATGAAAAATGAAACAATAAAATGTGACACAGCTGCTTACTAATTTTATGGTACATAGCTGTTAAAAGAAAAATCAAACAGCTGTATGAACTTGTTCACCAACTAGGTAAATCCATAAATTTTCATGGACAGATCAGTTAGTCACAAAAACTCTTCGACACCTCAGGTTCTGAAAACATCAGATTTAGCTTCTCTTTACTATTACAGATGATAATGCACAAGAAAATTTTCAAAAACATGTAAATAATTAATACAAATGAACTGTCAATTCATCCTCATATTTTATTTTCTCAAAAGGACATCGTGGCATTCATATTAGGCAGGCACTTATACTGTAGCCAAGTACTCAATCCATTTGGTAGTAAGGGTTTGAAAGCTCTTTATACTCTAAGAGCATCCTTATCCGTGGGAATATTAGAGGGGAGAATGTAAGAGTGATTAGGAAAGAGAATGTGGGAGGGAGAGGAAAAAAAAAAGTAAAAACTGATTTTAAAATAAAATATATATATAATAATTAAAGTCAGCCATGATTGGTTGCTTATCCTACTGGGTCCCACAATGCTCCCATTCTCCCAACTCTTATTTATGCTTCCCAAATTTCTCTCTCCACTCCCTCTCTCATCCATGTCAACATTAAATATATTAAAAGTAATGCATTCTCCCCACTTGCTCCCCTAGTGTGGATGCTCTAAGTAGGCTTCTGGTGTTGTCAGAATCCTTAGAAGGCATAAGTTAATTAGTCAATAAGGCATTAAACTAGAACAAACATGGAAGTTGTAATTTAGTTAAGTAGCTTCCATGGTTGAAGTGCACAACTTAACTCAATACCTTTATAATCTTCAAGATTGAAAATTGCAGCAAAATCATCATTTTGAGCCTGAATGGGAAAAGAAAGGAGTCATGTACTGTATTAAACTTTAAAAAATAATAGCCACCTTAACGGTTTAAAAGAAGACCTGAATTTGCATCAATAGTTGTTCTTGAGCCTGAAGATTTTTTGCAATTTCTTCACAAATATTATCATACTTCCCAATCTCCTTTCTGAAAAGATCCTCATGAGAGCCAGTAGATGTCATCAACTTAGGCAAGATATCATCCTGAAAAATAAATTAAAAAGAATCAAGACTAGAAAAATATCTATCTTAGCAAAAAGCAAGAACCTGAGAATGAACAGACATGCAAACAAGTCATCAATTACTCCATATAAATGCTTAAGAAAATGAGGATTGCCCACATCCAACAAGCCTTTAATTTAATAAATGCTTGAACTAGAAACACTATAAAAAGCATGTTTGCACCCAAAAAAAAAAAAAAACACTATAAAAAGCATGTTAGCAGAATTTCTAGTTTTTAATGGTTTAAAAGCATGTTAGCAGAATTTCTACAATGTTGCCAGTAGAGGAAAAGCAGTCCCACATTTACACATAATTTCTTTTGGATCCAGATATAGATCCCTTGTCCCATAGAGCACTGTTTTCCATGTCTCTTTGTGATCATGAAGATCACCCAAATTAACATAATTAATTTAATTGATAAATATTTTCTGACTGCTAAAATTAATAAATTATGTATCAGAGTGCACAACATAAGAATATATGAAATAAGTGAAGTTAACAAGATGTGTGTGATATTAACTGGTTAACAGTTGCTTCCAATCTAGGAATTATTTACGGGATTCTATAGTAGACAGCATAAAAGACCATGCCTGCACCAATCAAATCGAAGTTGAGGTTTTGGATTCAGTAACAAATCATCACCTCAGGAAAAAAAAAATCAAAAAACATTCCTCTTGCCAGATAAGTTAATGTTATTGCTTAATTTTCTTAACCAAAGCCGTGCAATAACTAAGCTAGCCATGATAAAAACTCGGTATTTTGATCTTACCTTCCTCTTCATCTCTTTCAGCATGTCTTCAAGACCTGCTCTTTGAGCACCAAGATTCTCTAATTGCCTCTGCAAATGCAAGCAAAATCTTTAAAGCAAGTTTAGAGTGTCTTCATCACACAAAATTACTCCTCCCAACAAAAAATATTTTTAAAAAGTAATTTTATCAGTAACAGTAATAGTTAGCATGACATCTAGAAAGTATAGAAAGCATATCTTTTTTGACAAGTAACTTACAGAGTTACAGTACAATTTTGCATTGCCCATTATAGCAAGACAAACTCAGAAAACTTTATAACAAGAAACAGAATTCTATAACCCAACTAATTTAGATCAATCAGTAAAGCAAGTTCTGGAGGTAGTAAAGTAAATTACCAAGCTCTGCTTCAGCACTCCCACAATAGCATCTTCATTGGCATCCAGAGACATTATTGGTCTTGCCAGGGATGGAAGTGCAGATTCAATCTACCAAAGAGCAAAATGCACAGGTAAGAATTGTGTTTGCTAGCTCCATGAGAAAGAGACCACACTTGCAGATCTCACCAGAAACAGGCCCAGATCTTCTCTGAATTAGTAATAAACTACGAAGTTTTTGAATTGAAAAAACCAGTCAAACCAAGCCAAAGATGGTGAATGCATGATTCAGATATGGTTTTGGACCAGGGTTGAAAATTTTGTTTTAATAAACTACACAATTTTTTTGAACTGGAAAAAACCAGTCATATCCAGCCAAAGCTGGTGAGCATAATCTGGATACATTTTTGGACCAAGGTAGTTTTTTTTTTTTTTTTAAATAATAGTCATTATTTTGGTTTGTGATAAAATATAAAAGTGTTTGCTGCCTTCCTTTTTGAGTTGAACTTGTGTGTGCAAAGCCTGAATGCACAAGTAAGCCACTCAGCAAGTGGATCAGGTTTTGCTTTTAAAAATGAAGAGGTCAATGGTGGTTGGACAAGCCATAATCCTCATGATGATATCAATATATCATGCTGGTTTGATGGGTCAGACTATACTCAACCCCAAGCAGGTCACTATTTGGTCCAAGTTAAAACCATAGCTAGCTACAGAACACAATACTCATGACAATTGCAACATAATACAGATGCATTGATAAAAAATTTAGAAGTGAATAACTTATAACGCACATACAAATGACAGGCAAACTAGATGTAAATAAATAAGTGCAAATCAAGTAAAAGGTGTTCACAAGGTTTATTAACATTGTTCTCAATTCAATAATACTATATATCATGTTAAAGATTTTTCATAGATTTCTCAGAAACTTCTATTTAATGTAGTTTCAAAATTTAATCTGTTTTTTCTAATTCAATGTGTCTTCTTAGCAACTGAATCTAGGAACACAAATGAGCACCAATATGTATTGCTATTTAGGAACTTAATCTCAAATTCAATGAGATGAAAAATAGAATAGAATGGCTGTGCATATACATACTGGACGGCGGTCAAGGATTGACATGAGTGCTGCATGATCCCTTACAGATCGCTCAATTCTGGCATCACTTTCTGCAGCTTGCTTCAAATTTGCCGCATACCTGTTTAACCTATCCTGCAGGTTCTTTGTTAGAGTACTAGATTGAGGCCTAGTCCATCGTGTTCCAAATTGGCTCCTAAATTGCGCATCTTCTGTTGCCTCTTTTTGCAAAAGCTCCTCAGTTTGCACCAACAGCTCCTGGTTTACCCTACTTAGATCTTTGAGTTGCTGTAGCTCAGCTTCCAAACCAGCTGGGCCACCACAAATTTGTACTGCCTCTACTTCTTCTTTCAGTGCGGTAGGCAGAGTGATATTTCCCTCCAAGGCAAGAATTGAATCAGGCAAGTCCATTTCCTTGAGCCTCACACGAGCTAGTTCACTACCCTGCTGAAGTTTCTCAGCTTGAGTCCTGATTACATCATCAACCATTTCTGTATATCTTGAAAGAGATTTTGCACTGTTATCAGGAACAAGACTTGCAAACATCTTCCCCTTGCTTGCATCCAGCACCTCATTCATGGACAAAGGCTTGACCATCGAAAATGCAGAAAGAGGAGATAATGAACTGGCGGGAGGAACCCTCATAAGATAGACTCTATCGTTCTCCTTCATAGCTATTTCCAAGTTTTGATTTAGGCTGACTTCTAATTTATTGATTGCATCTAATAACTGCTGTGCTGCCCCTCTTGGTGCTGTCCTTTTTGCCTCAGACAAGGCACTGATCCCACTCTTCAACCTGGCAATCTCCTCAGCTATCTCTTCTTTCTCGTGGAGCTCTAAACCACACCTATAGCAAGCCTCAGCATAAAACAAAGCTGCCTTAAGCTGAACATGAGCCAGCCATGCTCTCTCAAAGTGCTGGTTAAGAGGTGCAACATTTAAAGCTGCCAAAGCTTCCTCATAAAAGATCCCAACCTGTAATCATGTATATGTTATGGTTAAACCGTTGCAGCTCTAGATATCCAAACAAAAGGCACAGGAGGTCATGCAAATCAAGCACATCAAAAGTATAAATCAGAGAACGCTATAAAAATGTCATTCAAAATGGTTCAGAATTACTGGCAAGACCTGTCAGCCACAAAAGGAAAAATGCACTCCTGAATACAAACCTGTCTTGAAATTTTCGAACAAACGCCAGGACTGCTTCCTTTGGCAATAGTATTCTCAAATACACATTCCTGAGCCTGAGCAAGCATCAGTCTTTCTAGCATCCCGGCACACTCCACCGACACATCCACCGTGGTAGAGCTCCCCATAGATGCCTTCATTGCCACATTATCTCTCAAGAAAGCAAATGCCCCAGCTGCTGCAATGAATGAGTGTGAGGCCTGCCTCCGCCCATCAACCGATGACCGATCAAAACTCAGTGCTATTTGACTGTGAGAGGCCCCCAAATTAAATAGAACTGCCGCTTTTTCTATTGAAAATGATAGATTTTGTCAATAAAACAAAATTATAGTAATACGAAAAACCAAATTGGCCTAATTTAACAAAATTCGAAAACCATAAACTACCAAAATGAAATTGAAAATTTACCTAAATGGATGTTCTGCTGAGCAGCTTTCTGCCTGGTCTTGAAGGCATCATACCAGGTAAAGGTAACAGAATTGATATGATCCTTATCGGGGGAGATGGGGAAGCGGGACTCAACAGCGCAGAGGGCTTTAAAGTAATTCTGAAGCAGATCGCGGCGGGCGGTTAGAGAGTCGGAGGCGCCACGCTCGATTTCAGAACGTAGCTGCTTAAGGGTTTGGAGGTCGTCCTCGAGGTTCTGAGCCTCGCGCTCGGAGTAGTTGATCACGATGTAGTTGCGAAGGGGGCGGTAAAGGTCAACCGTCACCGTCTTCTTCTCGTAAACTGCTAGCATGATGTTCACCGACGCCGACGAGGACGGTGCCGCCATGATCAGGTGGTGATGAACAGGAGAGTTATCAGTGACAAGCAAAGGAAGGCGATACGAAGAAATCCTGCGTGTAATTTGAGGAAAATTGTTGTTATTTTTTTCCTTATATTTACTGTTTTTATTTTTATTTTTTATAATAATAATAATAATAATAATAATAATAATAATAATAATAATAATAATATGGGACGCTTTTCCTTAATTGCAAAGGAAGTAAGACGCGGAAGATTAATGAGAAAAAACAATATTTGGGGTGTTTGGAAGATGGTTTATCAGGGGCGTTTGGTTGTTACCTTCTCCAAATGGAGAAATGGAAGGGGACACGCGTGAAAAAGTAACTCTGCGCATGCGGGTGAACTCAGTTCATCCTTCGTTCCTTCTTTCAATAATTAGTTGCGCTTTTTACTTCATCATTCTTTTAGAGAAAATTTCAATTTTGGTCTACTGACTATTGGGGTTGTGTTAATTGCAACACTTGACTTTCAAAAATGTTTATTTAGTACCTTGATTATACAATTTCTATCAATTTTGGTCACGCCGGCCAAATTGCCGGCCAAATCTCACTGAAAATATTTAATAGGTCAATTTATGAGGGTATTTTAGTAATTTTACTCACCATCCCTTTCTTCTTCGATGAACTCCTCTCCGGCGACGACAACCTTGATTTAAAAACTCCATTTCCGGCGGCGAAGCGGTATTTTTGTAGCATTTGCGGCGTTTATTTCCAGAGCCATAGTTCACTGGGCTCCCATAGCGGCCATCACACTAAAGCAGCTCGGAAAATGCTCCCCAGTAAAGTCGATGAACCTTCTTCTTCTTCGTCTGATGATGTTCACGACGATGAAGATTATGACGTTAACGAAGAAGAGGCAGAATCGGAAGCGGAGAAGAACATGACGTTCAAGTGCCCATACAATTGCGAAAGGGTTTTCCAGAGTGGGAATGTGCTGGGTGGGCACAAGCAACATTGCAGAAATAGGGCCGCCGCCGCTGCAGGACTCGCCGGAGGTCATGGCCGGGAAACCGCGGCCGCAGATGAGGACAGAAATGGTGGTGGCGACAATAGAATTAATAATAGGCTTGGATTCGATTTGAATGAAGTCTCAGATTCAGATGATGAATATAATGCTGCAGAATAGAGGTGAAGATTGATCAAAAATACTAAAACAAACATTTGGTCTGATTTGACCTATTAAAAAATTGTTCAAACAAGCTCAAACAAACATTTGAAGCTCAACCAGGAAATGTTTGGTCTTTTATGTATGAAACTCGCCGGAAATGGAGTTTCTCACCGGGGTCTCGCCGGGGAAGAAAGGTAAAAAGTAAAATGACCAAAAAAGCCCTCCTTATTTGATTTATTAAAAATTTCCGGTGAGATTTGGCCGGCAATTTGGCCGCCGTGACCAAAATTGATAGAAATTGCATAGTCAAGGTACTAAATAAACATTTTTGAAAGTCAAGTGTTGCAATTAACACAACCCCAATAGTCAGTGGACCAAAATTAAAATTTTCTCCTTCTTTTAGTTTTTTTCTTTTTTGGATAGGATCCTTCTTTTAGTTAGGAATAAGGTTCAAATTGGCCACTGAACGTAACCTAAAAATGCAATTAGGCCACTGAACGAAAAAAAAAATGCAATTAGGCCACTGAACACTCCAAAAATGTGCAATTTCACCTGATAGCAGGTTACCCTCAATTTTAGCAGGTTATCTGCTTACGTGGCAGTTGAATTGGCATTTTTAATAAATTTTAATTAATTTTTAATAAATTTTAATAATAACTTTTTATTAAAAAAATTTTTAAAAAATAAAAACGACTTTATTTTATTTTTTATTTAATTTTTTCCAATTTTTTTATAAAATTTATTATTAAAATTAATTATTAAAAATTATTTAAAAATTATTAAAAATGCCAACTAAGCTGCCACGTAAGCAGGTAACCTGCTAAAATTGATGGTAACCTGCTATCCGGTAAAATTGCATACGTTTGGAGAGTTCAGTGGCCTAATTGCACATTTTTTGAGTGTTCAATGGCCTAATTGCACTTTTTTTTTTCGTTCAGTGGCCTAATTGCATTTTCAGATTACGTTCAGTGGTCAATTTGAACCTTATTCCTTTTAGTTATTACGTAGTATTATTATTATTATTATTTTGAAAAAATGGTCAAATAGGCCCTCAAATTTTGACTTAAAAGTCAATTAGGCCTCTAAACTTTTTAAAGATGCAATTACGCACATCAACAATTCATTTAGGTACAATGAAGCCCAAAAACAAGTTAATGACCTGCTATCACAGGTCATTAAGGTTCAGGCCACCTTCTGACGAATTTTTCGGTAAAAAAAAAAATGTGACTGGTGAAATTTCCAACAAAAAAGTGTCCGGCGACCGACAAAATTTCTGATCACTTTTTTTTGCCGGAAATTTCTCCGGTCAAATATTTTTTTTGTCAGCAAATTCACCGTAAGGTGGCCTGAACCCTAATGACCTGTGATAGCAGGTCATTAACTTGTTTTTGGGCTTCATCTAAATGAATTGTTGATGGGTGTAATTGCACCTTTAAAAAGTTTAGGGGTCTAATTGACTTTTAAGCCAAAGTTCGAGGGCCTATTTGACCATTTTCCCATTTTTTTTGAAAACTTAGTTGTTGTTGTTGTTGTTGTTGTTGTTGTTGTTGTTGTTGTTGTTGTTGTTATTATTATTATTATTATTATTATAGATTCGTTGTAATATATTAAGAATATTTAGATTGATATATAATTATTTAAATTAGAACATTAAAATATTATATAGTGCAATTGAAGATACGGTTTGGATCATTTATGTGTTTTGATGGTATCATTGTTTGAATTTAAGCAAATAATTGTTCAAATTAATAGCTAATGTGTAGATGTACGCATGCGATGCTGTAACTTTGAAAATTTTATTTATCATTGTTTAGATTTTTTTTTTATAAATTAAACAATTGCGCTTGTTCTCTAGCAACTCAATTATATGAATGAATTTCTATCTTAATTCATTTGTATGGAAGATATATATATATATATATATATATATATATATATATATATATATATATATATATATATATATATTGAATCCGGTGCACCCCCTTAGTTAGCCGAGCCCGTGAGCACACTTCCTGATCGTTGATTTGGATTTATTAACAATTCAGATGTTGTGTTAAGTATGTGTATGTGCGTGGGTTTTATAAGTATGCAGGGGTGATTTTGTCCTTTATCTCTGTCTTTAATATGGCAACTCTTAATTGTAGCTGGTTATTATGCGTGTGTATAGAGATATTATAGGGACTTCTTTTTGTTTCTCTCCCCTTGATCTCGTTTCGTAATCCATCTTTGAAGCCTCCTCGGTTCTCCCGCCTGCTCTCCTCCAGTTCGTCTCCCCCCCCCCCCCCCTTTGGTATACAGGTTTTCCGAGCATTCTTCATGGCTGGTTCCAGTAGGAGGCAGTCTAAGCGGTTTAGGGGCATTTCTTCCGCTTCCAGTTCAGGTAATATTTTTCACCGATTATTTGTATCTTTTTTTTTTTTTTTTTTTTCCGGGGCTCTATTTTTTCTGAGGGGTTGTGGGTTTGATAGTGTTCAGTGGGTGTTTGGGTGGTTGTTTATGATTTTGTATTTTCCACACGGTGTATTTTGTATTTTGGGTTTCCTGATTTGAGAATTTTTCTACTAATTCGAAGGTGTTGGTTTTTCATCGAATTACTTATATTTTTCCAGGCGTCGAAGTTTGTGCATGTGTGTTTGTTTGGGATTTTTTTCACTGTTGGGGGTTCTGGCTATGGTTGGGTTTAGTCGATGTTTTTTCGGGGGCAGGGCGATGGGTGTGGCAGGGATGGGCTGTATGGTAGATGGATTGTTCATTGATTTTTTTTTTTTTTTTTTTTTTTTTTTTTGCATTTTTCTGGGCGACTGAGTATGTGCATGTGTGTTTTTTTGGTTTTTTTTTTCTTCGTTTGTTGGGTTTTGGCAAGGTGGTGTTTGTGTGGCTGGTGTTTTCTGGGGGTAGGGAGCGGTGGTCGTGCCGGTGATGGGCGGTATGGTAGCTTGATTAGGATTCATTTAGCCTTTTTTTTTTGTTACTTACAGTGAGTATGAGGCTTGCACAATGTTCTCTATTTATTTGCATTTTTAATTATGTTGTGTTTGTGTTGTTTTTTTTTTATCTGTTATTTTTTCGGCTACCCATTTTGGTGTCATTTCTTGTATGTGCATAGAGGAATGTTAGCTTGTGCGTAATTCTGTATGTGGTGGTATGCATGTTATGGTCTGTGGACAGAGGATCAGAAGTTTATGCGTAGTAATGCTCTTGTGTTTGCTTAGTGTGAGATTAGTTTGTGCATATTGTTGTATCTGATGCATTATAGTGTAAACCAGGCTACTTCTCATTCAGGTCTTTGCGTGGTTTTTTTTTTTTTTTTTTTTTTGTTTTTTTTTTGGCTACCCATTTTGATTTTATTTCTGTGTGGGGATTTGGAAGGTGGTTTAGTCATGTGCGTGTTGCACCGTGGGATGGTGCATACTAATTCAATGTGTGTTTCTATTACTTTATCCCCTTTTTCTACTATTGTCTTGTCTTTCCTGTAGTGAAAGTGGCTCCATGGTTGAAGACCATATGGGCAAGCATGTTATACCATCTTCCACAACTAAAAATGTATTATTGGTATACAGAGCTAGTAAGTAGTATGGAAGAATCTCGTGAGAATTAGGGGGGTGTCTGGATTTAATTGGAGTTAGAAGTCTGTATTTGTTAGTCGGAAGCAATTTTTCCCCCCTTGAAGATTCGGATACGGATGGATCGGATGCTGAGCCTGACGAGGTTGATGAGGCAATTTTTCCCCCATTGAAGATTCGCGCCTCTCCAAAGCATCTTGTCAACCCTTTCGTTTATACACAGCTTTTACAATTCTTTCCTCACTTTAAATATTGTGGTCAGTTTTGTTGGGATTTTATTTCTCATTGTTTTGGGTTTTCACTTGAACATTTCGTATTACAGTTGTGTCCTATATTCGTCTTACGTTTTATGGATTTTTTTTAAATGCATTTGAATTCTCACAAGCTTTACGTACGTGCACTCAAATGAACATTGCGTATTATAGATGAGTCATTTATTCCAGCAGTACGCACTAACCTCAATCGTATAATGCACACACGGAAACATGCAAGCATTCATCGCCAGCGTTATGCACAGTTTGATGGCCTACTACGCACCTGGCGGTGCACGTCGATGCATACGCACCATATTATTAATAACTACTTGCTCTTGTTTTTAGGAGTAACGCATTCACCTTTTTTACTACTACGCACAGACTGCTGGCCTACTCAGCGACATGCACAGACTAACGGCTTACTACGCACACACCGTATTAGTAATAAGTAATAACTCTTGTTTACAGTGTAACACATTCACCTTTATATAACTTCGCACACATCCTTGTTTGAAATACAAATCAATTGTCAAGTGCGTGCAAACTTGGGTGCCAGCAGAGGACTAACCCAAAACCAAAACATAAGACTCACACAGAACAAGTGCTATGAACTTTCTTCTATTCACTAATGCATACCGCGACACATGCATGTTTTTAGCCACAGCGTTATGCACCGGCCGGTGGCCTGCTACGCACTAGCAGTTCACGAAGATGCATATGCACCATATTAACATTTACTTACAACTATACTTTACTGAATAATGCATTTACCTGCATACAACAACACTCTCATCATAATTACAAATTAATAACAATTTTCAACCCAACCAATAAGTCAACTCGTCTACCGCAACCAAATCTTTGTCTCACTCGGCGATATATCCATAACACACTGTTCGGCGTCCACATCATCTTCCATGTGTGGTGCACCTGCCACACAAAATCTACTTATCGACGTTTTACGTTTTTAACAACCAAATACAAAAAAAAAAAATAATAAAAAATAAATAAATAAAAATTTCTCAATATAATCACACGGTATGCACGCACTAATCTTCGTATACGCACCCGCCATCACAACTCACATAGTATGCACTGATCGACATACTCTTGTCGTTCCACACTTTATAAATTCCGAAGTTCACACACACCCATCTCAATACATTTAGGCCGTCCAAAAAAAAACAACATCAATATCCTCATAGAGATGCAGGCGATATGCACAGGCCTTTTCTGGCCTACGCACCATGCAACGTAACGATCATCATACTAAGTTGTAATCAACATGCTTTCCATTCCACACTGTCAACAATCACTATCTCACACACACACACACACATCTCTTTTCATGTCGGCCAACCAAACTCCCGAATATTTTTTAAAAAATTAATGTGCAAACCATAATTTCACCCTTGTTGCACGCTCTGCACATACTCATTGTTGTCTATGCATCCTCTCGCCAACCTATCTGTTTCACAATCAGACCTGTATGCACCCACATGAACACACACACGCTATGCACATCACATAACTTCCAGTTCGTCCAACAACCCCCACCCCCTCCCCCCACCCCTCCTGTAAAAAAAATCCCAATCTTCAGCATATGCACACACAAAGGCACGTAAATGCACATACATGTACTGCTACTAGCCACCCGTTCGTTTTCTCCTTAAGCCCTGTTCACGCGACATTCAGTTCATCAGCCTTTGTAAATAATTGAAAGTATTAATTACCATTCATAAACTCCCTAATATAATGCTTCAGATTCCAATTATATTATATCCATAAATAAACATAAACTATAATTACTATTATCTCCTTTTCATTGAGAAATGTCCTTAATTACTACCACAATCTCTTCCAATCCCAACCATTCATGGAAAATGAATCAATGGATATCAGGAGGCCTCATGGTCTTATCTACTATAGGGGTTGCACCGGATTCGAAGCCTATATATATATATATATATATATATATATATATATATATATATATATATATATATATATATATATATATATATATATATATATATATATATATATATATACATATATATAGCAATTTTGTCATTTAAAAAAAAATAATATCAACGATTTTATTTACACATTATTGAAAACTCTTTGTAGACGACATTAGTAGTAGCAACACAATCTTGTCCATCATCGTCTGGAGCTAACACCTTCAGTCGATCAGGATGGGTGACTCGGGTGAAAATATATAATGGTAGAATATTAGTCATTAGTGATCCTTTTTTGTTTGTTTGTTTTTTTTTTTTTTTTTTTTATTTCCATCTTTTTTTAATTTACCTATATTATTTACTATTGTTTGGGCTGGAAATCTAGTAAATAGAATTTTTTTAAAAATTATAGTATAGATTTTTTTTCTTTTTCTATTGTTTGGGCGGGAAAGTAAGGAAGGAGGATTTTGTTTTTAATAATAGTATAGAAGTATAGATTGATAATTCTTTTATATTTTCCTATTTAATTTATTATTATTAGTATTAATCAGTGAATTTCGTTTCTTTTTCCATTTTTAGTGAATTAAGGATTCTTTTTTATTTTTCTATTTTACTGTTAACTTTTAATTTTACTGATTATTATTAGTATTAATTAATCAGTGAATTCCGTTTCTTTTTCTATTTTTCGTAAATTAAGGATCTTTTTTTATTTTTCAATTTTTTTGGTAAGGATTTTTTATACTATTATCGTTATTATGACCTTTTTTAACAACCTTTCGTTTCATTTTTCCATTTTCATTGAATTAAGAATCTTTTTTTATGATTCAGAAATAGCGACGATGGCGACGATGCTCTCAGCGCAGCGATCAGAGGAGGATCACGACCTCCTGGTTCGAAGCACCAAGAAGACCAAGCGCGATGCGGGATCAGGCCTGGCCGGTGCAACGCCGGACATGGTACTGGAGACACCGATGGAGATGATCGAAGGGTACACAGCGCTGGTCGAGGCTCCAAGGAGACAGCCACCGCCGATCTCGTTTAGAGATCTTGTGGCAGGGGCGTCGCATCTGACCTCCGATGAGGATGATGATGACCTGTTCTCTGATGGAGAAGATGCGGAGGAGGACGAGGACCCTCTGTGCCCGATTATCCGGCTTACCAACAGAGAGAAAGAGGAGCTCCGGCGTCCGTGGCGGAATGCGTTGATTCTCAAAGTTTGGGGCAAACGGGTTGGATATTCATATTTGTACCGGCGGTTGAACACACTGTGGAGGCCTAAGGGCAGCATGGACCTCGTGGCAATTGATAACGACTATTTTCTGGTGAGGTTTGGTTCAAACGATGATCTGGAATATGCGAAATTCGGAGGCCCCTGGATGATCCTTGATCACTATTTGATCGTGAAGGAGTGGACTCCGGACTTTGATCCGGTTACAGATAAAACGGAGAAGGTCCTGGTATGGATACGATTCCCTTGTCTCCCAATTGAATACTACAGGACTTCTTTTTTGCAGAAAATTGGGAGGAAGATCGGACGACCAATCCGCGTTGATCAGGCCACGAGCCAGGTGTCTAGGGGAAGATTCGCACGCATGTGTGTCGAGATCGACCTCTCCAAGCCATTGATTTCCAAGTTCAGGCTGAGGAGAAGAACACGCTACATTTCCTACGAAGGAATTCATCTAGTTTGCTTCAACTGCGGAATGTACGGCCATAGTCTTGAAACATGCCCGGACGGAAATAAGGTGGTCGTTGTCGGTGGTGATCCAGAACAAACCGATAAGGCTCCTGGGGAGAAGCCACCTGGGACGACAGCGGAAACAGCTAATCAAAGAACATCAGTGGCGGAGGAGAAGGCGCCGTTTGGGTCGTGGATGATAGTGAAGAAGACGGACAGACGCCCAGGTCGAAGATCAGGGCCTACCGGCAGCAACTCTCAGGTGGCGGACCACACAGCCCAATCGTGATCGCGCTTCCTTCCCCTTGCCGCCCCGGAAGCGGAGATCCAGGGGGACGCTGAAAAACAGACAGACATGACCGGGGATAGCGCGCGTCAAGCGGAGGACCTCCGAGTAAATGCCGCCCCACAGCAGGCTAAGGAGAAACGCATGCCGGCGGAGCTTCGCAAGAATGGGGAAGGGCAGTCTGGAGCTAAAGTGCGAAACCAGAGAAGACCGAATGTTATTGCTAATGAGAAGCAGGTCACGAACCAGCCAGGGGCAAAGCAGCCAACGACGGCGGCAGTGGAATCAAGGCAGGAATCACGTGGTGCGTTACGAGTTGGGGCGAGGCGAGCAGCCGAGGAGGATGAGCATGTAGTGGTGAGAGGGGAACAGGGTGGCGCGATTATCCAGACCGAACGTATCTATTCCGAGCAGATGATTAGCGCAAGCCCCATGCAAGCGCTGGAAGATGTGGGGGAGCACCACAATGACAAGCCTTACCACCTAGATGACGACGGGGATGAAATGATGGCGGATGAAGGCGATCCGGGAGGACCTAAGGCCAAGGGGGCAGCATCTTGAGTCCGACTGTGCTCCCAGTTTTTGTTTTTAGTTTTTGTTATTTCCTGGTTTTTCTTGGTTTTTGCTCTTCTACTTTGTTTTAATGATTAGTCTCATTTGGAATTGCCAGGGCACCGGCAGGAGGGATTTCCACCGCGTCCTCAAACTTCTGCTCAAGTCTCACCGGCCTAGTCTGCTAGGACTGGTTGAACCGAGAGTCTCTGGGGATCAAGCGAATTCCTTTTGCTCTAAGCTTGGATATGAAGATTGGGTTCGGGTTGAAGCTATGGGCTTTAGTGGGGGAATTTGGGTGTTCTGGAATAAACCGCTCGAGGTTAAGGTTGAATTTACTCACCCCCAATTTATTTTGTTGCAGGTTACGGAGACCGGAGAGGCACCGTGGTTTTTAGCAGTTGTGTATGGCAGCCCGACTCACCACCTACGGCGACGGCTCTGGAGTGCGTTACGGGCTCACAAGCGGGGCATCAGTGGACCTTGGCTTGCGGTAGGGGACTTCAATGCTGTCACAAGCGAGGGAGAAACTTGCAACTACTCTGCGTACTCCTCTCAGCGAAGTTCCGATTTCGTGGAGTGGATTCACAGTGAAGGTCTTATTGACATGGGCTATAGCGGAGCCCGACTGACATGGATGCGGGGGTCGGAGAATGGGCTAGCTAAAGGGGCGAGGCTCGACAGGGCCTTATGTAGTGTGGACTGGAGGCAGCGCTTCCCGGAAGCTTCAGTCCGTCACTTGCCACGAGTCTCGTCGGATCACGCACCAATTTTAATTTAGACAGAGGGGAGGATAGTAGGAGGCGCGGGGGGGGGGGGGGGGGGGGGGGGCAGTTTCGCTTCCATGCAGCGTGGCTAACCAATGAGTCGGTTGATGAGGCCATTCGGCGGTCGTGGAACTCCGGCACCGATTGGCAATCCAACATCCAAAGGGCCCAAGATGGGTTAACGTCGTGGAGCAGGGAGGCTTTTGGCAGTGTTGAGGGCCGAAAAAAGATTCTTTTGGCTAGGATAGGGGGCATTCAGAGACAACAAGATTTCTCCTATCACAACGGGCTCCGGCAGTTGGAAAAGAAGCTAAGACAGGAACTAGACGAGGTGCTCTACCAAGAGGAGCTTATGTGGTTCCAACGGTCTAGAGAGGAGTGGATTGTGTCGGGAGACAGGAACACAAGATACTACCACACAGCAACAATGGTTCGAAAGGCGAGAAACAAAGTGCTTAGTTTAAAGGACGACAACGGCAACTGGATCACTGAGGATATACTTTTGGGGCGGCACGTCCAAGATTTTTACGCACATCTCTTTCGAGTGGAGGGCGAGGGGGACATGATGGCGGCGATCCGTGGCCGGTTTCCTAGGCTAGAGCAGAGGGACTGGCGGATTTTCAATAGAAGTGTGACCAAGGAAGAAGTTCGTAAAGCTGTCTTCGACATGAGCCCCTGGAAGGCGCCGGGCCCCGATGGCCTACAGGCAGCATTCTATCAGCATGCGTGGGACGTTGTGGGGGACTCTACATTTGAACTAGTCAGGGATGCGTTCACGACAGGGAGAATTCCGGAGGGGGTAAATGATATTCTGCTAGTCCTGATTCCGAAGGTCGCGACACCGGAAACCGTGAAATAGTTCAGGCCTATCAGCTTGTGCAATGTGTCTTATAAAGTGATCACTAAGACGATAACGAATAGGCTCAAATTTATCCTTCCGAAGATTATTGGGCCGTTCCAGAGCTCCTTTGTCCCGGGACGGCAAATCACGGATAACATCTTGGTGTATCAAGAAGTCATGCACTCTTTGCGTATCAAGAAAGGAAAATCTGGGATCATGGCCATTAAGATTGACCTAGAGAAAGCTTATGATAGATTATCTTGGGATTTTATTAACGATACTCTTTGTGATGCAGGGTTCAATAATGACTGGACACGGATTATCATGGAGTGCGTCCGATCTGCCAACATGCAAATCTTATGGAATGGGACGAGGATGGAAAGTTTTAAGCCAGGACGGGGAATCAGACAAGGAGATGCCATGTCACCGGCGTTGTTCGTTCTGTGCATGGAGCGGCTTAGTCAGAGCATTTCGCAAGAAGTTAGCCGGGGTACGTTGAAGGGCATCCAGCTGTCTGCCTCGGGCCCGACTCTCTCGCACCTTTGCTTTGCGGACGACATGGTGCTTTTCACTGAAGCATCTATGGAGCAGGTGGCGGTCATCAGGCGCTGTTTTGATCACTTTTGTGAGGCATCCGGGCAACGACTCAGCTTGGGAAAGTCACAGGTGTTCTTTTCTAAAAATACCCCGTCTGAGCTTAAAGAGGCCATTTCTCTGGATTTAAGGATACCGAGCACCACGGACCTTGGACGGTATTTGGGTGTACCCTCTTTGCATGGCCGAGTAACGAGTGTTACTTTCTCGGGTTTGCTAGACCGTGTGAGGGGTAGGCTTGACGGATGGAGAAGCAAAACATTATCTCTTGCTGGGCGAATTACACTGGCCAAGGCTGTGCTTTGTGCGATCCCCGCATACACGATGCAGACTGCGCTTCTGCCCAAGGAAGTTTGCCTCAAGATTGAAGCCATGGTCAGATTCTTCATTTGGGGTGGAGTCGGCGACGCAAGAAAGCCCAGCTTGGTAAGCTGTGACGTTGTCACGAAATGCAAGTAGGAGGGTGGACTGGGAATTCGGCGAATGCAGGACGTCAACACAGCCTTCTTGGCCAAGTTGGGGTGGCGTATGAGGACTGAGCAAGACAGACTCTGGGTTAGAGTCTTGACGGCGAAGTACCCGGCAGTGAATAGTCGAGAGCTGAGGGATCTCAAGAGGCCATCATCGAACGCGTGGAAAGGGATTCGTGCCACGTCGAGCTTCGTGGAGCAGGGGTTGAAAAGGGTTGTTCGCAACGGTCAAGAGACTCAGTTCTGGATGGACAACTGGATCCATGGAGGCTGACTTTACGAGCACATGAAGAGACCGATCAGCCTCCCAGAGCTTTACAGTACAGTTGCAGATTACTGGGAATATGGAAGGGGATGGAAGTGGGAGCGTTTTGACGATATTCTAGACGACAACTGGAAGGCAAAGATCCATGCGTTCTCGGTGCTAGAAGATGCTGATGCTAGAGATGAGTGGGGATGGGGTCTCGAGACGACAGGTAGGTTCACTGTCAGCTCAGCGTATAGGGCCTTACAATCGCCAAGCACTTCTCCGGTGGACGGGGATTGGGATATCATCTGGAAGCTCCGTGTCCCCAGCAAAATTAATCACTTTCTGTGGTTGGTGAAACTAGGGAAGGTGATGACGAACGTTGAGAGATGTAAGAGACATTTCACGACTGATATGATGTGTACGTCCTGTGCAGGTACGCCGGAGACGATCGGCCATATTCTCAAGGACTGCATGGAGGTAACAGGGCTCTGGGAAGCGCTCATGCCCCAGTCGGCAATTCAGGTGCTGCGTACGAAGAGCTGGTTGGATTGGTTTTCCATGAATTTAAGGGCAGACCGGGCCTTGGGCTTTGATGAGGATTGGAGGATTACTTTTAGTGTTGGCCTGTGGTGGTGCTGGCGATGGAGGAACAGCAGAATCTTCGAGAGCACCAAGCCCAGCCTGGCGCAACGAGTGGCGGTGATAATTGGCCAAAGGGATGCGATTCTGGAAGCGTTCCGGAAGAAAAGACCGGCGAGGGTCGGGGCGGGCGTTGAAGAGAGAAAGTGGCTCAAACCGGACGTGGGCTGGGTCAAGCTTAACGTAGATGGTTGTAGTAAAGGGGCGACGATGAAAGCAGGGTGCGAAGGGGTCATTCGCGATCACAGAGGGCGATGGGTTTGCGGGTTCACGTGCAATATAGGATCATGCTCGGCCGAGGAGGCAGAGGGTTGGGCGGTGCTTCAAGGTCTCCGCTTGGCGGCTGCCTGGGGAGCTGCAAATTTAGTTGTCGAAAGCGATGCCTTGGGGGTCATCAACCAGTTGAGAACGCGCGAGATGAGGGTGGCGAGTAATGTCCTGAGATTGTGTGATCGGGAGTGTGGCAGGTTCCCAAATCTGGAGTTTAGGCACGTGAGGCGCGAGCAAAACAGAGTGGCAGACCGCCTTGCTGCGGTCGCCTTATCTCATGAACTAGGAGGCCGAGTCATCGTCGGTATGCCCACCATCGTGGAAGACGTTATGTGGGAAGACAGTGTTGGAGCCAGAGTCGCTCGCAGTGACATCAGATAGTTTTGCTCCGGGTTCATCCCTCCTTTTATCCAAAAAAAAAAAAGAATCTTTTTTTATTTTCCAACTTTACTGATTATTATTAGTATTAATCAATGAATTTCGTTTCTTTTTCCATTTTTTATTGAATTAAGGATCGTTTTTTATTTTTCTATTTTACTGCTAACTTTTTTACTGATTATTATTAGTATTAATTAGTAAGTGAATTCTGTTTCCTTTCTATTTATACTGAATTAAGATTTTTTTTTTATTTTTCTAATTTTTGATAGGATTTTCTTTTGTTTACTGATATCCTTATTATGACCCCTTTTTTCACAACTTTTCGTTTCTTTTTTTCCATTTTCATTGAATTAAGACTCCTTTTTTTATTTTCTTATTTTACTTATTATTATTAGTAATAATCAGTAAATTCCGTTTATATTTTCATTTTTAGTGAACTAAGGATCCTTTTTTATTTTCCTATTTTACTACAAACTTTTTTTACTGATTATTGTTAGTATTAATTAATTAGTGAATTTCGTTTCTTTTTCTATTTTTTGTGAATTAACGATTTTTTTTTCTATTTTACTACTAAATTTTTTACTAATTATTATTAGTATTATTAATTGATAATTTTTTTCCTTTTTTTATTGTTTGGACGGGAAAGTAAGAAATAATGATTTTGTTTTTTAATAATAGTATAGATTTTTAATGAATTAAGGATCTTTTTTATTTTTTCTATTTTACTGCTAACTTTTTTATTGATTATTATTAGTATCAATTGATAAGTGAATTCCGTTTTCTTTTCTATTTTTCGTGAATTAAGAATCTTTTTTATTTTTTCTAATCTTTGGTAGGATTTTTTTACTATTATCCTTATTATGACCTATTTTTTTCACAATCTTTTGTTTTTTATTTTCCTATCTTATTTTCCTATTTTACTGATTATTATTATTAGTAATAATCAGTAAATTTCGTTTATATTTCTATTTTTAGTGAATTAAGGATCTTTTTTTTTTATTTTCCTATTCTACTATAAACTTTTTTTTACTGATTATTGTTAGTATTAATTAATTAGTGAATTCTGTTTCCTTTTCTATTTTTCGTGAATTAAGGATCTTTTTTTTCTTTCTATTTTACTACTAACGTTTTTACTAATTATTATTAGTATTATTAATATTAATTAGTAATTTTTTATCCTTTTTTATTAGTTGGGCGAAAAAGTAAGAAATGATGATTTTGTTTTTAATAATAGTATAGATTTATATTGATAGATTTATACTTTAAAAATTACATTTAGAAATTTAAAAAAAAAAAAGTAGCATTTAAATTTTCTATGATTGGTATAGTGCATAAGTGTATGTATGCATGTATTTAAAATTTTTTATAAATGTTTATATTTTGTTAATTTTATAATTTCCTTTCCTTAATTATATTTCATATTTTATTAATTATAATTTAACGAAATTGGCACAAATATTTTCACGGAAGAAATCTTATATTTCTCAATTTCATTAATTATATTAATTATATTAATTATAATTACCAAATATTGTGACAATTGCCATAATAATTTCATTAATTATAATAATTGTTCTCTTTCAATATTTAAATACATTACCATAGTAATTATACGAAAGAAGGATAAAAATTAGGAAAGTATATGAAAAATTAATTATATTTTTTTTGAATGCTACTGGCTCTATTACATTGTAGTATCTAATCATAGCTACTTTCTCAACCTACTAAAGCAGCACAACCTCCCATATGGGAGTCCAACCCGAGTGCCATCTGAGCACAAGGTGCTTGGCTAAAAATTAATTATATATTAAGGTAATAATAATTTATTTTGTGCCATAATATTATATATCTTAACTATAATATAGCCATATGGTTTAGTGAGCAATTATTGTTACAATTATTATATCTATCCTTATTATTATTGTATTCTTTAAGTTTTTGGATCTTCTATATTATTATTTAGAAAATGGTGATGATGATTAATAGTAATTTATATTTATAAATAATTGTTTGGTCTTTAAAGGTCAATTGTATGTTATTACATCTAGAATTAGAAATCTCAAAGGTCTAAAAATTTTGATCCGTGGTGACTCTGAAAATTATAATTCAATTACTATTGTAGTTTACTAAATTCTTAAAAATTTGTAATATCTTAATTATAATAAAGTCATATGGTCGTGTGTGTGTATATATATATCTACTTTCATATATATATATATATATATATATATATATATATATATATATATATATATATATATATATATATATATATATATATATATATATATATATATATATATATATATATATATATATATATATATATATATATATATAATTATCTAATAATTATTAATAAGAGTTAATCAACAATTTGGTCCCTCAATTATTAGCGAACTGTCAATGTAGTTCCT